TCGAGACTGATCAACCGATGATAATTATAGAGTAATCTAATCCACACCTCAAAGAGCTGTTGAGGAAACGGGATATGCAAAGCGAAAAAGGTCAAGATGTGTACTTCCTCTGTTCACTTTTATAAGACCTTGAAGATATTTTAGACAATGTGCAAAACAGCCTATTTTGAGTTGTCTGAAACGACCTACAAAAGTGAACGGAGGGAGTAGCATAGATAATAGATAGGTATAGATAGTTCGAGATTCAGATCGTGCGAGCGAGCGAGCAAAGCAGGTGCATCGCATCGAGCGCTCCAACGTTCACATTCCACCACCTCACCGCACTCCCCGACCAGCTCCACTATTTTACCGCTCAGACCGGACACCTCACTCCCCAACGCTCAGACCAGCCAGAGACCGTTCCTCCCTCCGTCCTCGAGCTCGACACCCCACACCTCTCACCTCGCCGCTCACCTGCCAACCAGAAGCACACACGGCCCGCACGGCCAGAGAGTGAAGCGAGCAAGCAGCACAGCGCGAGGAGGAACATGTCCGTGGCGCAAACCTAGCTGCCCATTGCGTACTCTTCCACGGCCGGACGCAGCAATGGTGGCCGGCAGGGTCAAGGCGGCCATGGGCTTCCAGCGCAGCCCGGCCACGCCCAAGACCTCCTCCTCCCGCAAGGCACCGGCACCGCCACCGTCGCAGAACACCGCCCCCGTCCCGGCGGCGGCGCGGCGGCCCTCGGGCCAGTGCTCGCCCGCGCCGCCCAGCTCGGGGGGCAAGGGCGGCGGCGGCGGCTCCTTCGCGCGCTCCTTCGGGGTCTACTTCCCGCGCTCCTCCGCGCAGGTGCAGCCGGCGCGCGCGGCCACGGCGCCGGACGCCGCCGAGCTCGCCCGCCTCGTCGAGGAGCTGCAGGAGCGCGAGTCCCGCCTGCGCACCGAGCTGCTCGAGCACAAGATCCTCAAGGAGACCGTCGTCATCGTGCCCTTCCTCGAGACCGAGCTCGGCCGGTGCCGGGACGCCATGTCGCGGCTCCAGGCAGAGAACGCACGCCTGCGCGCCGAGCTCGACGCCGCCGTGGCGAATGTCTCCAGTAAAGAGCAGAGGATTGCCGAGATGGAGAGGCGGATGGCGGAGATGGCGAGGCCGCCGCAGCGTGGTGGCGCCGACGATTGCTCGTCGTCGGACGGCTCCACCAAGGCGGGAGGAGGCGACACGGCGGCCAAGCCAGCGAGCAAGCCCGTTCTCCCTCCTCCACCACCACCTCCGCCGCCTCCAATGCGGACACACGCCAAGCCCAAGTCGTACTTCTCCGGCTCGTCCCGCGCCTCGCCGGCCACCTCCTCCTCGTCCGGCTCGTCCACGCCGTCCTGCTCCTCCGACACGGCGGCATCCACGGGCCGCAAGCCGGAGCTCTCCAAGCTGCCCCCGATACCCCCGCCACCGCCGCCGCCGCCCCCACCGTCAATGCCGGCGCGAGCAACCCGGAGCGCGAGCGCGAGCTCGCCGCCGTCGACCTCAAGCGGCGCGGCGCCGGCGCCCCCGCCCCCGCCTCCCCCAC